GCATCGGTGGCGCGTGCCTGTAATCCCAGCTACTCAGGAGGCTGAGGCAGGAGAATTGCCTGAACCCAGGGAGGCGGAGGTTGCGGTGAGCCGAGATCGCACCATTGCACTCCAGCCTGGGAAACAAGAGCGAGACTCCGTCTCAAAAAAAAAAAAAAAAAAAAAAAAAATTAAACTAATTTACTATTTTGTGGCTAAAGCAATCCAGCTTTGTAAAAATGTTAAAGCAGTATAGAAATGTACAAAGTTTTAAAAAGCTGTCCAGGCTCCGTGGCTCACATCTATAATCCCAGCACTTTGAGAAGCCAAGGCAAGCAGTTCACTTGAGGTCAGGAGTTTAAGACCAGCCTGGCTAACATGGTGAAACCCTGCCTCTACTAAAACACAAAAATTAGGCAGGTGTGGCAGCAGGCACCTATAGTCTCAGCTACTTGGGAGGCTAAGGCAGGAAAATAGCTTGAACCTGGGAGGCAGAGGTTGCAATGAGCCAAGATCACGCCGCTGTGCTCCAGCCTGGGCGACAGAGCAAAACACCATCTCGAAAAAAATTTTTTTAATTAAAAATCAGAAGTTTCCTCCAGGTCCACAACTGCTTATCCAAGCGCTGTCCAGTTCCTGTGAATTTTTCAGGGAAGTTTCCATGCATGTACACGTGTCCTTTTTCTTTCTTTTTTGGAGACAGGGTCTTGCTCTGTTGCCCAGGCTGGAGTGTTGTGGCACAATTTCAGCTCTCTGCAACCTCCACCTCCTGGGCTCAAGTGATCCTCCCACCTCAACCTCCTGAGTAGCTGGGACTACAGGTGAACACCACTACACCCGGCTAGTTTTTTGTATTTTATTGTAGAGATAGAGTCTCATCGTTTCCCAGGCTGTTCTCAAACTCCTGGGCTCAAGTGATCCTCCCACCTCAGCCTCCCAAGGTGCTCGGATTACAGACATGAACCACCACATCGGGCTTTCTTTTTTTTAACTTTGGCTTTCTTGAGATATAATTGACATATGTTACATCTACTCATTTAAAATGTACAATTCAGTGGTTTTTAGTATATTCACAGTCATGCAGCCACAATCAATTTTAGAATGTTTTCATCAACTCAAAAGAAACCCCATACCCATTAGCAATCATTCCCATTCCCCACCCCCCCAACCAGTTCCCACCACCCCACCCTTCCTCCAGCCCCAGGCAACCATTAGTCTGCTCTCTGCTGCTCTAGCCTTGCCTTCTCTGGAAGTTTCATAAATAGAGAATTAGCCAATGTGTATAGTCTTGTGTGACTCCCTTTTGCCTCCTCTAGTGGTTTTAAGTTTTATCCATATTGGAGTGTTTCAGAACCTAGAAGTGGAATTGCTGGATCATACAGTAACTCAGTGTTTAACTTTTTGAGAAGTTGTTTTTTTTTTTTGTTTTTTTTTTTTTTAAGATGAGATCTCACTCTGTCACCCAGGCTGGAGTACAATGGCGCAATCTCAGTTTACTGCAAACTCTGCCTCCCAGGCTCAAGCAATTCTTCCACCTCAGCCTCCCAAGTAGTTGGGATTACAGGCATGCACCACCACGCCTGGCTCCTTTTTTTTTTTTTTTTTTTTTGAGATGGAGTCTCGCTCTGTCACCCATGCTGGAGTACAGTGGCGCGATGTCAGCTCACTGAAACCTCCAACTCCTGGTTCAAGGGATTCTCCTGCCTCAGACTCCTGAATAGCTGGGATTACAGGTGCATACCACCATGCCTGGCTAATTTTTTTTTGTATTTTTTGTAGAAACAGAGTTTCGCCATATTGGCCAGGCTGGTTTCGAACTCCTGACATCAGGTGATCCACCCACCTCAGCCTCCCAAAGTGCTGGGATTACAGGCATGAGCCACCGTACCTGGCCTCTCTTTACTCTCTTGATGGTGCCCTTTGAAGCACAAAAGTTTTTTTATTTTGGTGATGTTCAATTTTTTTATTTTAAAGATGGGATTTCACCAGGCTGGTCTTGAACTCCTAACCTCGTGATCCACCCACCGTGGCCTCCCAAAGTGTTGGGATTACAGGCGTGAGCCACTGCACCGGGGTTTTGTTTTGTTTTGTTTTGTTTTGTTTGAGACTGAGTTTCACTTGGTCATCCAGGCTGGAGCGCAGTGGTGCAACCTCAGCTCACTGCAACCTCTGCCTCCCTGGCTTAAACTATTCTCCTGCCTCAGCCTCCTGAATAACTGGAACTACAGGTGTGTGCCACCACACTCACCTAATTTTTGTATTTTTAGTAGAGATGGGGTTTCACCATATTAGCCAGGCTGGTCTCGAACTCCTGACCTCATGATCTGCCCACTTTGGCCTCCCAAAGTGCTGGGATTACAGGTGTGAGCCATTACGCCCAGCCATTTTTTTTTTTTTTTTTTTTTTTTTTTTTTTTTTGAGATAGAGTCTCACTTCGTCACCCAGGCTGGAGTGCAGTGGCACGATCTCAGTTCATTGCAATGTCCGCCTCCTAGATTCATGCAATTCTTGTGCCTCAGCCTCCCGAGTAGCTGGGATTACAGGTGACTGCCACCACATCTGGCCAGTGTTTTGTATTTTTGGTAGAGTCAGGATTTTGCCATGTTGTCCAGGCTGGTCTCAAAATCCCAACCTCGAGTGATCCACCCACCTCAGCCCTCCAAAGTGCTGGGATTACAGGCGTGAGCCGCTGCGTGCGTCCGGCCCAGGTGATGTCCAGTTTACCTACGATTTAGTTGCTGTTGTTTTGGTGTCTTATCAAGAAGGCTTTGCCTAACTCAAGGTCGTGAAGAATTTATATTTTCTTCTAATAGAATTTTGGCTTCTAATTTAGGCTTTTGATTCATTTTGAATTAATTTTGGGGTATGGCATAAGGAAGGGGATCAACTTCATTTTTATGCATATGGATATTCATTTATCCCAACACCATTTGTTGAAAAAGTTCTTTCTTCTCCATTGAATCATCTCAGCACACTTGTTGGAAAATCAATCGGCTGTAACTGAAGGTAAATTATCTTTGCCCCTTGTTGAAAATCAAGTGGCTGAACATGTGAGCGTTCTATCCTACAATCTTCCTGAACTCTTTCTTGATTTTGTGTGTCTGTCTGTGGGTGTGGGACCTTCCCCTTTCTAACAGTCATGCAGTATTTCATGGTGTAGAGAGAAATACTGTGATCTCTATAATGAGCTGTTGAACACTTGGGACTGTTGGGTTTGTTTGGTTTGGCTGCTGTTACTGATTGTCCTATAGAAAACGCTTTTAGGAGCACTCCTTCATTCGGGGAAAGTGCATTGAGTGCCTTCTTTGTGCCAAGCACTCTTGGAGGTATTGGGCCTGCAGACAATAACAAAGTAAACAGGGTGATGTCAGTTTGAGAAAAGCACAGTGACGAAATGAACCATGCCTGGGATCCCAGCATGCTTTTGGTGTCTTATCCAAGAAGGCTTGGCCCTCACTTTGGGAGGCCAAGGCAGGAGGATCACTTGAGCCCAGGAGATTGAGAGCAATCTGGGCAACATAGCAAGACCCTGCCTCTACAGAAAATAAAGAAAATTAGCCAGCCTTGATGGCATACACCTGTGGTTCCAGCTACTTGGTGGTTGAGTGGGAGGGTTGCTTGGGCCTGTGAGGTCAGGCAGTGATTTAGGTGAGCTAGGATGGCACGCTGCACTCCAGCCTGGACAACAGAGCAAGATTCTGTCTCAAAAGCTGGGCGCGGTGGCTCACAGCCTGTAATCCCAGCACTTTGGGAGGCCGAGGCGGGCGGATCATGAGGTCAAGAGATGGAGACCATCCTGGCCAACATAGTGAGACCCCAACTCTACTAAAAATACAAAGATTAGCTGGGCATGGTGGCGCATGCCTGTAGTCCCAGCTACTCGGGAGGCTGAGGCAGGAGTATTGCTTGAACCTGGGAGGCGGAGGTTGCAGTGAGCCAAGATCACGCCACTGCACTTCAGCCTGGGTGCCTGGCAACAGAGCGAGACTCTGTCTCAAAAAAAAAAAAAGAAAAGAAAAGAAAAAGGAAAAAAAGCCAGATGTGGCGACTCACACCTATAATCCCAGCACTTTGGGAGGCAGAGGCGGGTGGATCAGCTGAGGTCAGGAGTTCAAGACCAGCCTAGCCAAAATGGTGAAATGCCATCTCTACTAAAACTACAAAAGTTAGCTGGGTGTGGTGGCACACACCAGTAATCCCAGCTACTCAGAAGGCTGAGACAGAAGAATCCCTTGAACCTGGGAGGTGGAGGTTATAGTGAGCCAAGATTGCGCCATTGCACTCCAGCCTGGGCGACAAGAGCCAAAAACTCTGCCTCAGAAAAAACAAAAAACAAAAACAAAAAACAAAAAACAGATATGCAAGGGAGTGATTGGATATGCATGTGCAGTGTTGGGTTGAGGGTTCTGTGATTTGGGGATTCACAGAAGATTTCACTGAAGAGGCGTCCTTTGAGCTATGAGCTCAATGATGAGGAAGAGCCCACAGTTAGGAAGGTTGTTCCAGGCACAGGGAACAGCAAGTACAAAGACCTGGACCGGAAGGCGGGAATGAACTTAACCTGTCACAGAACAGAAAAAAACCCAGTGTGCCTGGAGAGCAGCCAAGACTGGAGAAGTGGGCAGCACGCCAAGTGAACGCAGCTCTTGCAGCCTTACCGAGGCATTTGGATTTTATTACGAATATGAAAGGAAGCTGCTGGGGGTGGGCATTAAGCAGAGGAGTACCTCGACCTAATTGATGTGCCGAAAAGAGCACTCTGCTTAAGAAGCCCGTTTTTTTCCCAGCCTGGTTGCAGCATTTCCAACCACTGAGTTCTTAGAAGTGGAATGACTGGGTCAGCAGGTTTAGACATTTAAAATGTTCCTGGGTGCTGCCCACTGCCTCCCCAAAAAATAGCTCTAGGTTTTACCCCAAAGGTGCCAGCTCCTGCCATAGCCTGCAGCGTTTGGGGTGAGGGTCGGGCGAATTTGCACCCCTGGATCGCAGCACCCACTCTCTGGCCCTTGCTTTCTTTGTAGGACCTTTGCCTCTACATTTACCCAGTAACTCTGGCTGTGCCAGGTACCCCTTGGGTAAAACGGGCACCCCAGAAACATGGCAGACGAAGATCTCATCTTCCGCCTGGAAGGTGTTGATGGTGGCCAGTCCCCCCGAGCTGGCCATGACGGTGATTCTGATGGGGACAGCGATGATGAGGAAGGTTACTTCATCTGCCCCATCACCGATGACCCAAGGTCAAACCAGAATGTCAATTCCAAGGTTAATAAGTACTGCAGCAACCTAACGAAAAGTGAGCGGTATGGCTCCAGCGGATCCCCGGCAAACTCCTTCCACGTCAAGGTGAGTGAGCCACTTACCCCGCCTTCCCCACCTAGCTTAGCTGCTGTCAGGGATGAAGGGTTGGGGTCTCTGGTTGGAGTCTTCTTCATGTTTCCAAACCTTGGCCAGTGCTCCCAACTCTGATCTGAGGGTATACTTGTTAAGCAAGGAGGGTTTTGTTGATTTAAAATAAACTTCATTACCTTGCAACAGGGTGTTTTTCGAATAGTAGCCCAGGACACACTATGGAGTTGTGAAAACCTTTTGCTGAGTTTTGTCCAGTGTTTTGTTTTTATTTATTTATTTATTTACTTATTTTAGTTTTCCTTAGAGACATGGTTTTGTTCTGTCACCCAGGCTGTAGTGCAGAGGTGCTGGTTTTTGTGTTTTGTTTTTTAAAGAAATGGAACAGAACAGAACAAAATAGCAACTATTGGGGAACATTGCAAACTATAAAGATCTTCTTTTTAAAAACTTTTATTTATTTATTTATTTATTTATTTATTTATTTATTTATTTTGAGACGGAGTTTTGCTCTTGTTACCCAGGCTGGAGTGCAATGGCGCAATCTCGGCTCACCGCAACCTCCACCTCCTGGGTTCAGGCAATTCTCCTGCATCAACCTCCTGAGTAGCTGGGATTACAGGCACGTGCCACCATGCCCAGCTAATTTTTTATATTTTTAGTAGAGACGGGGTTTCACCATGTTGACCAGGATGGTCTCGATCTCTTGACCTTGTGATCTACCCGCCTCAGCCTCCCAAAGTGCTGGGATTACAGGCTTGAGCCACCGCGCCCGGCCCTTAAAAACTTTTATTTGTGGCAATAGAAAATTCCCGAACTAAGGACTGACTTTCCCTCCCTCCCTCCGTCCCTCTCTCTCTCTTTCTTTTTCTGTTCCTTCCTCCCTCCCTCCCTCCTTCCCTCCCTCCCTTCTCTCCCTCCTTTTCTCCCTCTCTTTTTTTTTTTCTTTTCTTTTCTTTCTTTCCTTCCTTCTTTTTCTTTCTTTCTCTCACTCTGTTGTCCTGGCTGGAGTGCAGTGGCACAATCATGGCTCACTGCAGCCTTCAACTCCTAGGCTCAAGCCATCCTCCTACCTCAGCCTCCTGAGTAGTTGGGATTACAGGCTCGTGTCATTATACCTGGCTCATTAAAAAAAAATTTTTTTTTTTTGTAGAAATGGGGTCTCACTATGTTTCCCAGGCTATTCTTGAACTTTTGGTCTCAAGCAATAAGGATTCTATTTCTTGAACATACGTGTACACACATTCACACACAAAACTGTGGTGGATATATCAATTACTTATGGTCAGTGTACCATTTTTTAAAAAATAAATAGAGCAGTGATTTGTGCCTGTAGTCCCAGCTATTCAGGAGGCTGAAGTGGAGGATGGCTTGAGCCCCAAAATTCCAGGCTACAGTGAGCTATGATTGTGCCACTGCATTCCAGCCTGGGCGAAAAAGTGAGACCCTATTTCTTAAAAAAGAAAAGAAAAGAGATAGAATGAAATGAAATAGAAAATATTGGAGAATACCACAAAGTGTAAAGACTTTATTTCTTGAAATATATATACATACCCATTGACACATAAATGTGGCGACTATATACATCAGCCTCTGATGGTATACTCATTGTTAATTTTTTGAAAAATTTATTTAACACCGTACTTTTAGGTCAGTCGCGGTGTCTCACACCTGTATGTAATGCCAACGCTTCGAGAGGCCAAAGTGGTAGGATTGCTTGAGCTCAGGACACCATCCTGGGAAACATAGTGAGTCACTGTCTCTCAAAAAATAAGACAGACTGTGCGTGGCAGCTCACGCCTGTAATCCCAGCACTTAGGGAGGCCAAGGTGGATGTATCACTTGAGGTCAGGAATTCGAGACCAGCCTGGCCAACATGGCGAAACCCCATCTCTACTAAAAATACGGAAAATTAGCCAGGCGTGGTGGCTCACACTTGTAATCCCAGCTACTTGGGAGGCTCAGGCAAGAGAATCACTTGAACCAGGGAGGCGGAAGTGGCAGTGAACCGAGATTGTGCCACTGCACTCCAGCCTGGGCAATGAGAGTGAAAATACTTCTCAAGTAAATAAATACGTGTATCATTCTTTTCTTTTCTTTTTTGTTTTTTTTTTTTGAGACAGAGACTCACTCTGTCTCCCAGGCTGGAATACAGTGGTGGGATCTCGGCCCAGTGCAACCTCCACCTCCTGGGTTCAATTGATTCTGTTGCCTCAACCTCCCAAGTAGCTGATATAACAGGTGTGTGCCACCACGCTCAGCAAATGTTTTGTATTTTCAATAGAGACAGAGTTTTGTTGTGTTGGCCATGCCGGTCTCAAATTCCTGACCTCAAGTGATCTGCCTGCCATAGCTTCTCAAAGTGCTGGGATTATAGGCGTGAGCCACCATGCCCAGCCTAAAATAAATTTAAAAACATAAATTTATTGAATGCCATTTGGTAGATGCCAGCATGGGTACTTGATCACATGAAACTTGCATTTATTTAATACATATTATGTATCTGTCACCAGGTTATGCTTTGAGTACAGAGAGGCAAACACCAATTGTTTACAGATTTAACAGTCTCCTTATTTATCCAGCAGAGACATTCAAGCGGAGAAACAAACATAATAACTATTAGTTACTTTGATAGAAATTTGTTTAAGGACACTGAAAAAAAGGATCTCATTTAACACTTACAGCCATCCTGGCTGGGCACAGTGGGTCAAGCCTGTAATCCCAGCATGTTAGGAAGCCAAGATGGGAGGATCACTTGAGGCCAAGAGTTTGAGACCCGCCTGGTCAACATAGCAAGACCCCATCTCTATTAAAGAAAAAAAAAAACCACTTATACAGCTGTCCTATAGGGTTACAACTACAACTGTGAAGGATAGACTACATTCTTTATTTTTTTTCTTGAGGCAGAGTCTTGCTCTGTCGCCCAGGCTGGAGGGCAGTGGCGTGATCTCGGCTCACTGCAACCTCCACCTCTCAGGTTCAAGTGATTCTTCTGCCTCAGCCTCCCAAGTAGCTGGGACTACAGGCACTTGCTACCACACCGGGCTAATTTTTGTATTTTTAGTTGAGATGGAGTTTCACCATATTGGCCAGGCTGGTCTCGAACTCCTGACCTTTTGAAACACCCACCTCAGCCTCCCAAAGTGCTGGGATTACAGGCGTGAGCCACTGTACCCAACCTATTTCCCTTTCTGTTGCCACATTCCAGGAGTGTGGCCCTAATAATTTCTCACTGATTATGAGAATTAATGGTTTTTTAAAACCTTTCTACAAATTTACTGCCGTTTTCCAAATTTGTTTATTAATTTGAAACTCGTACTGTGGAAGGTTTTTCATCTCAAGTGTCTTCTACATTGTCTGATTTTGTGTTGAATATTTTGAAAGCACCCTTCTGCATGTGTGTATGTGGGTACAGAGACATGCTATGCGATATGATTCTTCATGTTGGTTATCATAAAAAAAAAAAACACTTTTAAGAGTTGGACATCCTTCTCTGGACTGAGGAAAAGTGTACTTATTTTGGTAGGGATTTGTGTTCATACCATAGCAAAGCTGGTATAAAGAGGAGGAGGAGAAGCTGGGTGCAGTAGGTCACGCCTGTAATCTCAGCACTTTGGGAGTCCAAGACGGGCAGATCATCTGAGGTCAGGAGTTCGAGACCAGCCTGGCCAACATGGCAAAATCCTGTCTCTACAAAAGCATGAAAATTAGCCTGGTGTGGGTCATGCCGCCTGTGGTTTCAGCTACTTGGGAGGCTGAGGCATGAGAATCACTTGAACCCGGGAGGCGGAGGTTGCAGTGAGCCACGATTGTGCCACTGCACTATAACCTGGGTGACAGACCGAGACTCTATCTCACAGAAAGAGGAGGGGAAAAGGTGAACATTATTGGACTTTGTATAATAACTGGTGGGGTAAGAAATCAAAAGTGCAATGCTGTTACCCTTACTTAATCAAATCCTCACACAGTTAAGTATCAGTACTGTAAACAAAATGCCTGTTACCACTTTGGGATTTGAAATTTAAAATATTCTTCCATAACTTCGGGATTAATCTGTTTTTAGAAAATTAATAATTTTAGTTCCTGGAGATAGTTGGGTAATGTTTTCCTTTTCAGCCTAGAGTTCTAGCTGGAGTCACTCTGGGGCAGGCAGCTCCAGAAATAGCCCCGGGGGTCTCCTCTGGGGTCGGGGGCCCTAAAGGGGCAGGTTTCCACTCATCCTGTTTCCTGTCCGAAGGCAGCTTTGAAATGAACACCCAACCCCTCGAGGGTAGCTCAAGTGTCCATGAGAGGGGCTGATTTAAATTACAGGCTGTGGTTCTCTCAGACTGCTGTGTTTACATTAGAACATAGAAGACATTTCTTTTTTTCTTTCTTTCTTTTCTTTTTTTTTTTTTTTTAAGACTAATTCTCGCCCCGTCTACAGGCTGGAGTGTAGTGGTGCGATCTCAGCTCCCTGCAACGTCCACTTCCCAGGTTCAAGTGATTCTTGCACCTCCGCTTCCCGAGTAGCTGGAACCACAGGTGTGCGCCACTATGCCCTGCTAATTTGTGCATTTTTAGTAGAATTAGGGTCTTGCCATATTGTCCAGGCTGCTCTTGAACTCCTGGCCTCAAGTGATCCATCCACCTCAGCCTCCCAAAGTGCTGGGATCATAGGCATGAACCCCCATGCCCAGCCTTTTCTTTTCTTTTTTTTTTAGAGACAGAGCCTTGCTCTGTCACCCAAGCTGGAGTACAGTGACATGATCATAGCTCATTGCTGCCTCGAACTCCTGAGCTCAAGCAGTCTTACCACCCCAGCCTCTTGAGTAGCTAGGAGGACAAGTGCATGCCACCATACCCAGCTGATTTAAATAATTAAAAAAAAATTTTTTTTTTTTAAGAGACAAGGTTTCACCATGTTGGCCAGGCTGGTCTCGAACTCCTGACCTCAGGTGATCTGCCCACCTCGGCCTCCCAAAGTGCTGGGATTACAGGCGTGAGCCACCGCGCCC